AAGATGAGGGGATGCATTGAAGAGTTTGGTGGGAGTGGGGGCGTTTAGCTCCCAAATTGGCCCATTCCCCACGTAAAGCAACCTTGAGAGGGTTCCACCACATTATTTCTGATATCCCTTCTGATTCTTCACATTCTGTGTGTGGCTTCACTTTAATTCAGTAGACACCCAAGTGCCTACCATGTGTTAGGCCCCACAGGATACCAGGGTGGTCCCCACAATCAAGGTACTTAATGTCCACTTGATTTTGAGACCTGCACCTAAGGGCAGGGCAAGGCCGCTGCCACGTCTCTAGGTGTGGCATTAGGCACGCAGGTGTGGGATGAAGGGCCAGTTTACGGTTCCATCAAGGGAGACCCGATGCCGTTGCCTGTGTTCCTGCCCTCCTGGGCCAGCATGTTGGGCGGTGCCCCATCTCGGCTCATTTAAAGTCCCTGCCATTCACTTCACTTGCCCTCTCTAAATTCCCATTTACATGCCCCTCTGCCTTCTTCTAGGATTGCAACACATGCTTCCTTTCTTGCTACTTATTCTCAGGGACTTCAGAATCCACTGCTGACCCGTCTGAAACCTGCGTTTCGCAGGTCCCTCCAGGCCCCGGCTGTGCTGCCCCTCACCTCCCACTGCTACCCTCCAGGGACTGCTGGCCCTGGCTCCACGGCCTCAGCTGGAGGCTCCCTTCTCCTCCGCCTCTTAGCCGCCCCACTGGCGACACTGCGCTCCCAGATGCTCCTCTTCACCAGCTATGCCCTTCCAGGTGCCCTCGACCCGTCTTCAGCCCTTGCTGCTCAGTCTTGACCGTTCGCTGGCTGCTAACCCCCTGCCTCTGCTATCCTGAGAAATTCTTCACTCAACACCACTGTTCTCACCACCTGTTCTTTTGCTCTTTTCATTCACTGCCAAACATCATGAATGAACAGTATATACCCACCACCTCCACAGTGTCACTGTCCCTATAAACCTCTGCAAACTCCTGTCCCCCTTACTTACCTTTTTAAATTCAGACACAGGTTTATTTGCATTCTCTACCAGAACGTAAGCTCCACACAATTAGAGATTTTAGTTCTATTTACTGCTAAACCCCCAGCCCAGTGTCTGGCACACACGAAGCCCTCGGATATTTGTTGAAGGAACCATAAGCTCCATGAGGACGGGGCTTTGTTTTGCTCATCTGACACCCTGAGTGTCTAGCACAGCGTCTGGCACCACGTAAACACACAATATTCACTGAATTAGCGAGTGAGTTGCCAGGCATGTGATTTTTTTTAAGTACTGCTTTGCTTGATATTGTTTGCATATTGCCTCTGCATCTGCCCCTTCCTGCTGTTACCTCACACCTGGGCTTCAGCAATAACCTTCAAAGTTCTGCAGCTGAAATCCATCCTGCGTGCTTTCACCAGATTACTTTCCTAAAATAACATTTTTATAGTGCTTCTCTGCTCAAAAACTTTCCGTGCCTCCCCAGTGTGGTTTCTAATGTATCGACAGGTGGGGTTGCAAAAGCTCATTTGTAAGTTAGCTGTTCAGAACAGTGGAACAAAGTTTCTCATCGGCAGTACATACTGGGCCTTACCTTGGGTCTTGAAGTTTTTATATATATATTGCTCCATTCATTAAACTGTAGGATTTTATTTATTTATTTTTTTTTTAGAGAGGGGAAGAGAAGGGGAAAGAGAGGGAGAGAAACATCAGTGTGTGGTTGCCTCTCACTCACCCTGTACTGGGGACCCAGCCTGCAACCCAGGCATGTACCCCGACCAGGAATCAAACCAGCAACCCTTTGGTTTGTAGGCCAGCGCTCAATCTACTGAGCCACACCAGCCAGGCCTAAACTGTAGTTTAAATGAATGTAAAATAGTGTTTCTACAGGAAATGTAATCAGAGCTTCATTTTGGGGATGCCAAGCACATATCCTGGCCTATAGGGAATTCCCCCTCAAAGCTAAAATTGATGATTCGTACAGGCTGTGACAGTGGCTGTTTAATACACCTGTCATTCAAAGCTCTCTAAATTCCATCAGGAACCCTCTTCCCCATCAATCTCGCTCAAAGTGATAGTGCTCCTCTGAAGTCTAGACTGCTTACTCGACAGCTATTTTATCTATTGCATTGCCTTGTATTTTTCATTCCTCATGGGCATCTTATTCTGACCAGACGGTAAGCTCCTGGAGGGAAAAGGCTCTCTTCTACCATCTGTGGCATGTCATGAACAAAGAGCACTCATTAAATTAGTTTCTGAGTAACTGAAGGAATTACTCTTGTTGCTGTCCAGAATACGCATGCAGGCAAGTTCAGGATGGCCAGGCCTGCCCTACTTCTCAAAGGCGTCCTGCAGCCCTGATGTCAGGAGGCTGCCTTGGCAATGAGTGCTCGTCTCCAATCAGAAACAGCTGGGAGTACGCATGAGTCATGAGTGTGCGGTGACCTTAGTTAACAGCACTAGTTACAAGGGAAGCACATGCCTAAACAGGCTTCCCTTGGAGATCCTGTGGGTTCAGCCCCACACCACCGCAATATAAAGCGAGTATCACAATAAAGGCAGTCGCACGAATTTTGTGGTTTACCAGTGTCACGTAAAAGTTATGTTTGTATTAAACTGTAGTCTATTAAAGAGTGCAATAGCATTATGTCTCAAAAATATGTCATTACTAAAAAATATTATCATCTGAGCTTTCAGTAAATCATAATCCTTTTGCTGGTGGACGATCTTGCCATCAATTTGTAAAAAACACACTTTCTGCGAAGGGCAGTTAAACGAAATACTATGCCCGTAGGTGCCAGGTGACTTACAAATATAGCTCTAATCCTCACAAGGATCCCACGTGGAACCCGGGGTTCTGAGACGCTGTGATGTGACCTCTCCAAAAGCTCAAAGCTTTTAAGGGATGGAGCCAGGATTTCAAAGCCAGCGTATGAACCAAAGTCTCTGACTCCACAGCAGGTGAAGATGGTCGGAAGGGGTCTCCTGCCTCACTGGCTGGTCAGGGTTGGGTGTGCTTGCCTGGTGGCTACATGGAGGCTTCCTGCTTCCCTTCCACTTCCTAAATAAAACGGCTGGATCAAAGGGGACCCAGCCGTTTTCCCAGAACCTTTCTCAGACTAACAAGGACCATTTCTCAGTGGTCATGTGAGCAGCTCTTCTCCCAGCTAGCACCTTCAGATTCCATGTTCTTTTGACATCACCGTACAGATGCTCAGCTCCTGAAAAAACAACTGAAAGCTTGAGTCAGACACTCCATGTGCTGGCTGGGTAGCTCAGTTGGTTAGAGGGCCAACCCTATAAGCTAATTTTCAAGTTCAGTCTCTGGTCAGAGCACACACAGTAAGCAACCAATGAATGCATAAATAACTGGAGTAACAAATTGATAATGATTCTCTCTCCCCCCAAATCAATAAACAAAAGGATCTTCCCTGCAACATTGTTGCACTAAAAAAATTATAAACACTAATGCCTATCAACAGCAGAGTGGTAAAATTATAGTACCACCATACGGAGTACTATAAGGCATTAATAATAAAATGTCTAAGTTCAATAATAAAAGTCTAAGTATATTGTTAAAGAGAAAAGGTGGCCCTGGTTGGGTAGCTCAGATGGTTAGAGTGTCGGCCTAATACGCCAAGGTTGCAGGTTGGATCCCTGGTCAGGGCACACACAAGAAACAACCAATGGATGCATAAATGACTGGAACAACAAATTGGTTTCTGTCTCCCTAAAATTAAAAAAAAAAAAAGAGAAAAGGCAACCAAACATGCACATGTATGTATTTGCATAGGAATAGAAAACTCTTTGAACGACACATATTTGTTCAACATTTATTTAAGCATTTTAAGGTATCCAAGAAACATCAAGAGGTTACCTGTGACAACTGGGTCTGAAGAAAAAATAGTAACTTGTACTTTCTGGTAAACTTCTGTACATTTTTTTTAAAACCACGAGCACTACTTTTTGTAGTCAAAACTTAAAAATAAGTATGATAAAGTAGGAATATCTAACAGGTTCTTGACTGGAAAGGGACAGGTTACTTACAAATTTCTGCATTTAGATAATGAGGATGGCAGTAGGAACATCCTATTTTTAGGACAGGTGGAAACTTACTCTAAAACTGTAAAAAAAGGGGCTGATGATAAAGCGAATACGTCCCAACTTCTGACGGCCCAGATCTTCCTAACCATACAATTCTAAGCTGTGTATCTACCTGGAGGTGGTGTGGAATGCAAGGCGAGGGAGCTGCTGCTTTCGGTCTCAGGCTGCATCTTACACACCGGGTCATTAATCTCCCAGACACAGCGTCAAGGTGGACGGGATTCTGAATCGAACTATTCTCCCCATTATTACCAAAAAGGCAACCCAGGCTCCAGACGTCACAGGGCGAGGATCTGATTTCCACGCACAACTAACCTCAAAGGCCACACTCCTAACCTGCTAAGCTCCGACAGGCGATTCCTGTCCTGTAAAATTGAGCAGCCACCAACCGTTTGGGCGTCCAGTCCACAGGCTCAGGACAAGGTGGGGGCTGGCGCCAGCACCCGGGGGCGGTGTCGATGCAGAAAGGAGGCGGAGAATCCGAGACTCGGTTCTCGTGGAACCGAAAGCTCTGCGTATGCCCCGCCCCCACGGTCACTGCGCGCCCGTCTTTTCTTCTCCGCAGCACTTGCGGGGCTTGAAGGTGAAGGAGCGAGTCCGTCCCGGACCACTGCCGGCTTCACCGGCACTCTCGGCTTTTTTCAGTTAGAGTTCGAGAGCAACTCAGCTGTCCGAGGTCTCAGGGCCGCGGGTAGCGGCTGCAATGACCACCGAGAAGGAACTGGGCAAACTGGCCCGCGCCTGCACAACTGCCAGAGCGCACGCGCGGTGCGCCGGCGCGGAGAGGGCGCGGCTGGCTCGGGCTGCGGCTGCGCAGAGGCGGTGCCAGACGCTGCGCCTGCGCAGTGGTGGGGCGGGGCGGAAAGGAGAGAGGCGGCGGCAGTGGCGGTGGTTGCTGAAGAGGAGGAGGAGAAGGAGGGGGAGCTGAGGGAGGTGTTTCTGTCAGTTCCGGCTGTTTGTTCGGGAAGTGGATCCGCCGCTGCCGGAGCAGCCCAGAGGGAGCTGCGGATCGCGAGGCCAGCACCGACCCCGTCCGCCTGCCCTCACCTCCCCTGCCCGCCATGGCCCGGGACTACGACCACCTCTTCAAGCTGCTCATCATCGGCGACAGCGGTGAGGGCCGAGGCGGCCGGAGGCGGCGTGGGCCCTGCCGGGCGCGGCCCGCGGGGGCCTGGGGCGGGCAGACGCGCGGGGAGGTGCCGGCCTGCGCGGGGCGGGCGGGGCTGCCCGGCGCCGCCTGTCCCAGGGGCGCGCCGAGGGGCACCGGGCCGCGCCAAGGAGAGGTTGGGGCGTGGGACTGCGAGGCGGAGGAGCCAGGCGAGCAGGGATTGGGGCTGGGGCGTCCGGTCCACACACCGCGCCCGCTGCTGCCTCACGTGTGACCTTGGTCAAGTCGCGCGATCTCGAGTTGGAGAGACCTGGGTTCGAGTCCTCGGTTCGAGTTTTGGGGCTACCAGCTTCCTCACTCTGTGACCTTGGGCAAGTTGTTTCGCCTTCCTGAGCCTCAGTTTCTTTATCTGAGAAGTGGGGACGTGCCTCGCTGGGTGGTGTGAGTATTTGATGAGATAAAGCTGGAAAAGTGCTTAGCACTGACCTGGCGTAGATGTTTTCTATTGACGTGGTTAGCAGTATTCTGGCAAGCCTCAGTTTCTTCCTCTGAAAAGTGGGGATGCTCCCAGAACCTTCCTCGTGGGATTACTGTGAGGTTTAAATAAGGTAGGACAGGTAACACACTTGGCACAGGGCCTGACACATTTGCTGCCTAATTACCAGGGCTCGATCTCTGTGGTTCTGTTTCCTCGTCTGTAGAATGGAATAATGAGATCTGCTTCACTGTGCTGATTGAGTGTTCAGTGAGATACCCCACACACGCACACGTAGTGGCTGGAACAGGGCCTGGCTCATGGTGCGTATTCACGTTTGACTGCTCCTACGTGCTGCCCGTATGCGAGACAGGTATTGGAGGTGGTCAGCCACGATTGCCGAGGTGCGGACCATATCCACACTCCTGGGGAGCTCCTAGATCAGGGCACTGCAGCCTCTCCAGTGCCCAGGGCAGGGCCTAGAACTTGGTGGGTGCCTAACACATACTTGTAGAAGGAACGGATATTAAGCGTCCTTAGAAGTGATAGGCTGGTTTCTAGGAAGGGGTGGAGGGTTTTAGAGGTTTGGAGTGGGGCAGGTATGCGGGTTTATGGAGTGACCAAGAGGTCAGGGAGGCAGGCCTCAGGAGGTTTGTGGGAGCGTAACTGAGGCGCCGGGATTAAATGATGGGGAAGGAGGCTGGGGCATGCAGAATTTATAGACCGGACCAGACCAGACCTGACCTGAGCTGAATGTGGGCAAGGGGGTCATGTGACGGGAGGCAGACATCAGCTTGGTGGTGGGGCCCATGGGCTGCTAAGCAAAGAGGGGACCAAATCGGAGGGGTTTAAGACCCTGATGTTGGAGACTTGGGTGACGGTGTCATAGCTGGGTCGGGGAAGTAGGTGGGTTTTGGTCTCACTGTGGAGCTGGATTGGGATGTGGTTGGTGGTTTGGATCAGGTGAAGGATGGCTGAGGTTTCCGTGGTTACTGGTGGAAGGGAGAGGTAAGAGGAAAAATTAGGGGCTCACTACGGAGATGAAGAGTAGCTGTGGTTGGGGAAGGAGTTAGAAAGGAGGGGGTTGTGGTTTGTATGAAAGAAAACCAGACGGGCTGTGTAGACTTGCTCTTGGAGATGACCTCTGGCACTCCCCTGGGCCCCTAGGCTTATGCCTTTGGTTTACAGGATTTAATTTCAGCCTTGGCCTTGGTTATGAGGGGCTGGCCCCAGGGTGATTGCTTTCCTTTAGGAGTTAAAGTTAGCCCACTATGGTCAGGGGCCCTTATCCTTTCGCAAGACGTCTAAGACCTGTGTTGATACTCCAAAACGAAAAGCATAAACTCAGCAAGAAGATGCGGCTCGTTGGTTTTTGTGCTCTGTAGAACCCAGGGGATGATTTTGGCCCCCTTTCTCGCAGTACATTTTGCACGGGGTATTGATTTTTCACCCAGAAGTCAGGTGCGGGGGAAGACTCACTGGGTCAAGACTGATGTTCCCTGGCTCCCAGTTCAGTCTGACCGTGGAGGACTGCGCTGTGAAGAGGACACAGATGCTTTGCCGTGTAGTTTCTCCTGACAGTGAGCTGGTGCTCCAAGCTGAATGCTTAGGGGCGTGCAAAGTAAGCTCTGGCCGTTGGGCAAGGAGAGGAACACCGTGCTCTCCCCTGATTGGGGCTGCTTGAGTGGGTGCTCCCGTAAGGTTTATCAGATGATTTCACAGACAGTCTCTCATCTGGTTCTCGCTCTTTGCCTGTGTGGTTTGTCAGACAAGCAAATTAAGGCTCCAAGGAGCTCACTGACTTGCCCAAAGCTCATCAGAGGCAGAGCTAGGAGTTAACTAACGCACACAGATTCATGTATGGGCAGCTGGTGTCAGGCCTAGCAAGTAGTAGGCCCTCGTGAATGTTAGGTTCTTTCTTTATAAATCTAGAGTTCTTCTTCCCACTCTGCCACATTGTATACGTTTCTAGAATACATTCCCTCAGCTCCTGCAGCTCTGCTTTATGCCTGAGGTCCCACACTTTCTCTTGCATGCTGCGTTGGCTGATTTGTAACAGCATTTCACCTGCTCCACCAGGCCAGCCATCCTCGTTCTTAGAACCAGGAGACTGGAGTGGCCCCTAAGAGGTCTAGTGAAAGCCTTTCATGTTGCAGATGAGTGAACCGAGGCTCAGAGAGGGGAAGTGACTTATCTGAAGTTCTACAGTACATTAGCTACTGAGCCGGGTTTAAAACTGAGAACACTCTACTTGAAGGTCTAAAGGTCTTCAACAGTCTAGAGGTGAAGCGAAAAGGAGCGAGGGAACTGTAGCCCAAGGGAGGAGCGGGGCTGAGGGTGGGGACTCCTGTGGAGGCTCTTTGAGGGCCAGAGCATCTGTGTAGCCCAAGAGGCAGAATGCGGGGAGAGAGTATGGTGGCCACCGAGAGGCACAGAGGGCCAACCCCTGCCCCTTGCAGGGTGAAGATGATGGGGTGGACTGGTTTGGTTTCACACTAGCGATGGCCCTTGGGAGACTGTTGGCTTCAGCTGTGGGGAAGGGAGACTGGGACTTGTCACTGCCTCCCTTAGGCCAGTGCTGTGGGATGAATGGCAGCAGTGTGTGTTCCAAAGAGGCCGCTCCCAGGGATATTTTGGAGATGACATTTCTCGGGGTGGGTGCCTGCTCCTTAAAGGGAAGAGCAGCGCTGGAGGTTGGTGTCAGGCCCAGAGTGAGGCTCGGAGGAGCTGTCGAGGTGTTGGCTGTAGTGGTCTGTCTGCAGCCTTGTGGTTTTCAGAGGCAGCGCAGAGGAGCCAGGGGGTGAGTGCAGGGGACCCGGAGGGGCCGTGCCGGAGGGGCCGCTGCCGCTTCGCTGCTTCGTGCAGAGAGAGCACCGTCCCCCGGTCTCTTTCAGCTCATCTGGAGTCCGATAGCATTTAATTTTAAGAAAGTGTTCTGCTGCCTCCAGAAGTTTGAAAACCACTATTTTGGTTCCTGTTAATGCTTCAGTCTTTGCGTTAGATAGCATAGCCGTCAGTGTGATTGGCGGCCGTTTGGTCATAAATCCATTTCACAGTGTTTTTTTGGCACCTACTAAGTGCTGGGCCTGGCTTCCAGTGCATTGAATGTCCAGGGTATGTGAGGCGAGATTTCGTTTCTAGAGGAACTCAGGCCTAGTTGCCCAGACACAGCTTTCAGCTGAGTAAGCAGGCCCAGGAGTCTCCAGTCTCCAGGAGGAAGCAGAGGAGCCGGCAGGGCCTGTGGGGTGTTGGCGCTGGGCAGAGCGCTGTGAGGGACCCAGCCCAGGACTCGGGCTCTCCTTGGGCTCAGCAGGAAGCCTCGCAGAGGCGGCGATGAGGAAGTGGTTCTGAGTAAGAGTGCTGCAGGCGCCGGCTGAGCAGCAGGTGCTGTGGGCGCAGCACCCCCAGCCTGCCTTTGGGAAGGTCAGGCCCCGGTGTACCCCATGAAACCAGTTCTCCTGGGCTCCCCTGGACAGGGTACTCCCCTGGATGAGTCTCCAGGTGAGATCATCAGAGAGGACGTCTGGATTGGTTAGGGTGAGGGAAGCACAGCTGGGGAGGGGGCCCAGGTAGTGTCCTTCCTGAGGAGCTGGCGAATGCTCTGGGCTCCTCCCCACAAATATGCACATGCACTCAAAATCTGCACTGGGTTTGGGGGTTTCTCAGACTCTAGGCTAAGATCTCTTAGAATCTGGCTTCTAGGCAGGCTGCTAAAAGTCGTCCACCAGGAGTGAGATGCGGGAGCCCCTTTGGGGTCTTTGTATTCTGCTTCCTGGAACAGAAGCAAGAAGACTCCACAAGCCGCATGTATTGGAAGGAGCTTTAGCGCTCCGGAGTTGGGGTCAGGTCTCAGCTCACACTTCCTGCTGAGGCCCCTAGGCCAGCCGCTTACCCCCTTGGAGCCTCAGTTGCCTCACCTTAAGAGACACCGTTGGAATCATAGGCGCATCAGAATGCCCACTGCACACGGCGCTCTGTGCATGCTAATTCTTTCCTACTGTGGTCATTTGACCCAGCTGGCCGTAAGGGTGGTGGGGTAGGGGGTGGGACAGAAGGACACAGGACAGTTGCATCTGGCAGGCCGAGGCTGCTGTGTGCTGGAGTAAAGGGAAGCTGAGCTTAGTGTTCCGCCTGTGCTGGGAACGAGTGTGCCAGCCGGCGCCGTGGCAAGTGAAGTGCTCCGAGCACACGGGGGCTGTTGGGCTGACAGGCGTGTGGCAGACGGCTACTCCTCACTGACCCAGCTGGCGGCGGCATCAGCTGGGGTAAGATGGCTGGCAGTTGCTTTGAGTCGCCTGGGCCTCGGTTTTCTCACCTGCAAAACAGCCCCGATGATCTCAAGGGCTCTTTCCAGCTCTGCAGGTCCTCGCCCCACACTGCGCGTGAACCGGAGCTCCGCACAATGCGCAGTTGTCTAGGGACTGCGTTTCAGATGCGCTCTGTGGCCAGTGTCATTTGGTTGACCGTCCCCTGCATTATTTCTGTCACCTGGTCCCTTCCTCTGGGTTGCTGGGGCTAGCCCCCAGCACAGGACCTGGGCACGAGTCCCTTTTCACGTCCTCCCCAGGCACTTGGGGACAGCTTGTCTTACACGAGGACGGAGGAGAAGGTCAGGGATCGGGTGGGGGGATGTTCTGGGTGTGCACTGCTTGAGATCCGAAGCAGCGCTGAGGAGGGCGCTGAGCCTGAGGCAGGCCTGGCTGCCTTCTCCCCGGGGAAGGAGGGCTGGGGCTGGGGCGGAGCGAGGGTGCCAGGGTGCCGCACCTCCTCTCATCTCCTGCTTTCTCTGCTGCAGGTGTGGGCAAGAGCAGTTTGCTGCTACGTTTTGCCGACAACACTTTCTCAGGTGAGTGTGCCCTTGGGGTGCTGCTGGGGTGTTTGGGTTTTGAAATCCCTTTGCCTGGCGCCGGAGCACACCTGCCTGCGCCTCACGTCGGAAACCTGGCCGATCCGACTGCGGCCGCGGGAAGGAGGAGCGGGAGGCCCGGGTTAGAAGCCTCTCTGGTCCGTCCTAATCTGTCTGGTTCAGAAAAGCCCTTTGTAGGCCTGCGCTTTGGCCGCCCAGGGTCTTTCTGCGGCCCAACATTTAAAAAAGAAAAAAACGAGTCAAAAAATATTGCAAGTTAGTACATGACTGTGTAAAATTTCAACCAGGAAGACTCCATAAAGTGAACAGTGAAAGCTGTCCCTTCACCCACGCTCCCTGGTGCCCTGCGGGGCGCTGGTCAGCACGGCGTCTGTCTTTCTGACTTGGCTTCCCCACGCCGCATGGGGCACCGGCCACCGGCCTTCCCCTCCACGTAGCAGGCGCCACCCTCCCGCAGCCGCCGGCAGACCCCTGGTGCTTTTGCACGGCTCTGAAGTTTCCCGGGCTGCGCGTGCGTGCACTTGGCTCATCGACGGTGCTCTTGGTGTGTGCGTGCTTCCCGGCAGCCTCTGGCGGCAGCGGTGCCGCATTTCTCGGGGTACACTGCATGTTCATCCTTGCGTAGCAGAGGGGTCGCTAGGTCGGGGTGTGCGCCCACCAGTGCTGGGTCCCGGTAGTCTTCATCTTCGCTCAGCCGGTCAGCAGAAAGCGCTGTCTCGTGTAAGTCTGTGTTTCCCCGGTCACCGGTGAGGTGGATGTGTTTTGTTTGCCGACTGTGTCGGGCTCATTGCCGAGGCTTCGGGCCAGCTTGGCCTCCCCGGCCGGGGGTGCGGCGTGGCTGGCCTGTCGGGAATTCCCTGAGATGTGGCTGCTGTGGCTGCGGAGAGCTGAAACTAGGAAGTGAGCCCCGGGCTGACGCCCGTCTGGGCGGGGAAGCAGGCGGTCGTCCTGCCGCAGCACTGGCGGCGCGGAGTGGAAAGAGTTGTCCGTGTGACGGCGAGCCTGACTAAGTCTCGGCTCGTCTGTGACGGAGGGCCGATCGTGGCCCTTTCCGGAAAGGGTTGCTGCGAGGGTCGTCTGTGACGTGGCAGGCCGTGGTGCCGAGGCTCAGCGGCCTTTTAGCACACGCCCGCGGGCTGTCGTTGCCAGTGCCTCCTGTTCAGGAGTGGTCACCGAAGGACCAGCTTCTCATGCTGAGTAACCTTCCTCTGCCTCCTCATGCCCTCTGACCCCCCAGCCCGCTCGCTTCCACTCCTGGAGGGCTCTCCTTTGCAGTCTTGCCCCTCTCCCCACGCCTGCTACTGGTGTCTCACTGGTTCTAGCCTGAAGCAGCACCGCAGGCCTTGCCCCGACCGACCCCACAGACTGCTGAGTTCTCCTTGCTAGCTCACGGCTCTGCCAGGGGCTCGCCCACGCCAGCGCCTCAGCGGCCCTCTCCGCGGTGAGCGGAGCCTGTGTAGCCAGGTTCCCCCTCGGCACCGCTGCCCCTCAGGGCCCTGTGACCCTGTGTCGTGGGGGCCCTTCTGTAGAGGAAGTGGAGTGAAATCCGGGGGCTCCACCCACCAGATGTCAGTAACATCACTCCCCCCACAGTTGTGACAGCTGAAAATGTCTCAAGACACTGCCCGGTGTCCTCTGTGAGGACACTGCCCAGTTGAGAACCTGGCCTCCATCGTCTATTTTCAGCTCACCTCTCCGGCTTCCGTGTTCCTACTGTTTGTTCATTCTGCTGCTGCTTCACGGGCTCGCTTGCTCACCATTCATTCTGCCGCCAGCTGCTTGCCGAGCGCCTGCCGCGGGAGGTGCTGGGCCGCTCTCCCCGGCGGCACCCGGCGCTCGCACAGTGCCGGGGCTGGCTCCTTTCCGAGTGTTTTCTCGCTGTGTTTTGCCTCTGCTTTTTCCCTCTGGGTGGGATGTCTCCCCCCACCTAATCTCAGCCTTTGACATTTTACCTGTCCTTTCAAGCTAGGCCCCCGTACAGCTTCCTCCCCAAAGCCTTCCTTGATCGCCACCCACCTTGAACTTTGACCTTTCCTTCAGTTTTGGGAGTTTGGACACGTTGTAGATTCAGTTGTGCGTGTGTCCCGTCTGCTCTGCAGCGCTGTGACACTGTAAGCTCCCACGGGAGCGACACGGTGCCATCTGAGCACCTGGGCCTTGGTGAGCCTGGACAGGGCTGGTACGTTGGCCGGAAACTCTCTTGCTCTCCGTCTTCCACACGGACGCCCCGGGAGAGCCGCTTAGAATGCAGCTCACACTCTGCTGAAACCCCCGGTGCCTTCCCGTCGCACACAAGAGAAAGCCCAAGCTCTCCCGCTGGCACAAGTGCCCGAGACCGGCCTTGCACCCCCACCTGCCTCTGCCTCTGTGCTTGACCTCACGCGACCCCCTGCCCTCACTGCTATTTTTGCTACTGTCTCCTCTGCCTGGAGCACTGCTTTCCAAAGTGCAGGTCATGACTTGTGTGTTAGGTAGTTAATTTTGTGGGTCATCTAAAATGCTTGGAATAGAATGGAAAAGAAAAATGCAGATTGCATGGTAAGTCTCCTGCAGTTCTCGGACCACAGCTAACGAACAGCCCAGCCACCCTAATTAAAAGACCCTGTCCCTACCCCCAGTGACGTCTCCGGCTTTATTTCTTTTGTGGCACTCATCACTCTTGAAATTGTCGTCTTTGTCAGTGTTTCACTGTGTCCTGTCTGTGCCCTCACCTTGTCTGTGTGGCTCCGTCACAGCAGGACTGTCTTCCTCCTTCATCCTAACCTCCCCGGGACCTTGACCGTGCTGGACCCAGAGCGAGGGCAGTTCAGTCTGACCGGGGCTGCCGTGGGCCTTGCTAACGTGAGTGTCTGTGCAGGCAGCTACATCACCACGATCGGCGTGGATTTCAAGATCCGGACCGTGGAGATCAACGGGGAGAAAGTGAAGCTGCAGATCTGGGACACAGCTGGGCAGGAGCGGTTCCGCACCATCACCTCCACGTGAGTCGGGCTGGGCCTCCCTGGCCACCGGCATGGGACTAGTCCGGGTCGTGGTAGAAATGTCACTGGGGTGGGCCCTTGAGGCTGTCGGGAGGCAAGCTCCTTGCTGGCGAGCCCCCCTCTTCCTGAAGATGTGAGAGGAAGAGGGGTGAGGTGTGGCTGCTGCCCATGGGTGGGCGGTGGGCAGTGGGTGGTGGCCGAGCACCCTGCCCCTGGGGCGGACAGGGCAGTGCAGAACAGTCAGCCTGCTGTCTGGCCTCTGGCTCTCCTGTGTGTACAGTGGGGTAGTGGTGACACCGGCTTCCCCCGGTGTTCAGTTAGTCAGTGCCAGTTACCTTGTTGGGGCGTCAGTAGTGACAGATGGGGTCAGCCGTGCAGCCTCCTGTTACCCACCCCAACTTCTCGAAGCCGGCTGCTCTCCGCGGGGACACCTGGACGGGGAGCTGCTGCACGGGAGGCTGTCGAGAGGTCGCCGCTCAGCCTCCCCAGAGCTGGCTGCTGGGAGCCGCTCCCCCAGCGGGCTGCCCTCCCGTGCTGCCGCAGCACCCGGGCGACTCTGAGCTGCAGACAGGGCAGCCCAGCTGGAGCTGCAGACAGCTGAGTCCTGTGGACAGGCTCGTGGTTCTCGGGCTGTTGATGGGACAGGCTCCAGGGAAGAGCAGGACTTTGAAGGCAAATGGTTCAGAATTTACATTTCTGTGCCACTGTGTGACCTCGGGCAGGTTGCCCAAATGACCTGTGCCTCGTCTTCAGGGTTCGCTTTAACTCGGAGCCCTGTGCGCCGGGGACTCTGTGCTGCGGCTTCGGGAGGGTGGGTCTCCTGGCGCCCTCTGCGGGCGCACCGTGACTGCCCTCATTCTGCAGATGAGGGGACTGCTGGGGGGCCCTGCTCCCGGTGGTGGCAGAGCCTGAGCTGCACACGGTGGTGTGCGCACCGGCGCAGGAGCCGTGCAGTCGCTGCCTCTGCGTTAGGCCTGTCCTCTGGCTGTCCCCCGTGGTCCCTGTGTGAGTGGGGCTCTCGGGAAGGTGGGTGAGGAAGTTCTCTGGCCAGGGATCCCTTTCCTCCCCTCAGCATGGAACTGGGTCGGGCCCCAGGCTGGCTTCAGGACCTCCTGTGGGTGGGCAGTGTGAGGGGCGAAGAGTCCCCACAGTGGTGGCTGGGAGCATGGGGGACTCTAGGAGGTGCTGGCTGGGTGGCTCTGGTCAGGGGGTGGGCCCCGAGCGGTTTCTGGGGGTGTCCGTCCCTGGGCTGGCTCTGCAGTGGGACTCGTGCCCCAGGAGCCCCAGCCTGGTGGCTGCGCAGTACAGCCTTCTACGACCCCTTGCTGGTGAGCTGCCTGGGTCCCCTTGCGTCTGTGACTGCTAGCGGGGCCCTGAGGAAGGCAGCTGGGGTCCGAGGCTCCTTGGGGTGGGATAGACGTCTTTGGGCGGCCCGTGTGTCCAGGTCTGGACACGACCAAGACCTCTTGGTCAGACCAGAGCACTGGCCTCGGATGTCCTTGCTCTGGGCTGGAACTGCCACTAAGGACGTTACCTACTTCATTTCATTTCACCCTGATAAAAACGTTGTGTGGTTATTTCCATGTTATAAACAAGAGTGAGGCCCAGAGAGGGTGAAGTGACTTAGGTTGGCTGGTTAATCAGGAGCTGAATTGAGGTCTGATATCAAAGCCCTTGCCTTTAACGGGCCCACGGCCTTGCTCTCTGCTGACCCTGCACCCCCAGGGGACTGGGCTGGGGCAGATGGCAGATGCTCCAGTCGGGGGGTTCAGGGCAGCAGAGGTTACAGGGCCTGTGGCCGCGAGAAATGCTTGAGCCAGGGCAGTGGGCCCTGGGGTGCCAGGGCCCTTTCAGCAGAGGAGCCGTGGCCCCTCCCTGGCTGCTGTGAGCTCAGCTCCTTTCAGGGCGGGGGAGGGGTCAGTGGCCGCCTTCAGTTGTTGGGGAGACGGAGCCACTCAGTGGCCTGAGGGCAGTATGTGTGTTCCAGGCTGCTTGAGCAGGGGGCAGCGCCGTGCCCTGGCGCTGTGGGCACCAGGCCAGCCCCTGCTGGCCGTCCTGTGTGTCTGGGGAGGCTGAGGGTAGCTCCGTGTTGGGGCCCCTGACTCCGCCCCCCATGAGGCAGGAGGCTCTGCCGTCTGTGCCAAGGGGCCATGGAAAGACCTGACACCCCGGGATGGCGGCTGGCGGAGAAAGGAGGAGACTGGGAAGAGGCCCAGAGCGCGTTTTCCAGGGGCCAGGGTGGTCGCCGCATGGGAGTGCGGCTGTGCGGCTTTTCCTGACTCGGGGCACTGCCAGGGAAGCTGAAGTTGCGGCCTGCTGGCCTGCCCGGGACGGGCCCGCTGTCTCTGTTTCCAGTCTCTGGGTCGCTGGGTGTTGCCTGCCCAGCCTACAGCCTGGGGCGTGGGTTTGGGAGGGGCGAGGAGCGGGCAGTGAGACAAGAGGCCGGGGCCACGAGGAAGGGAAGCCCCTTCAACGCCTGGCCCTGGGGTTCCGCCCAGGCTCCCTGACGTCGGTGGTGCGACCTCAGGCAGGTCGCTCAGCCTCACGCCCTCACTGGTGAGATGGCAGCTGTCCTGTTAGTCATAGCAGGCTGTTGCACACGTCAGTTGGGTAGTGGACAGAAAGCGCTGGGTGCTGTGCGGCACGGAGCGAAGTTGTGGGGAGCGGGAGTGATCACTGATGGCGGTGGTAACGGGGGTCCGAGGCACTGGCGCCCTGCTCGCCTCTCTCTGGTCTCTTGTCTCTGATAAAGGCCTTGCCTGGGCCCCAGAGGAGGTGCAGTTTCCCGGGAGCAGGGGGGCTCTGTGCTGGGGCCAGAGCTGTCGGTATCGTGCGGCACCTTCCAGGAGTCTTTAGAAAGGAGAGTTTGGAAACGCTCACACTTTGCTGGCAGGGGACAGTCGTCTCTTCCCCTGGTTCTTGGCTCGCACTTGGACCTGCTCAGGTGGGTGTCCACCCAGCTGAACTACTGTTAACAACCAGGCGCGAGATCTCGGCAGCAGCTGCCAGAGGGCGGGGCTGGTTCGGAGGGCCCAGTGCCTGGGCGGCTTGACTGCTGGGAGTTGGCAAGGCCGTGGGCAGTGGTTCTTGCTGTGCAGGGTGGGCGTCTCTGCAGGTCACGCAGTGTCGGCCAGGGCACCGGGAAGGCTCTCCAGGGAAAGGCGAGGCCCTGTCCTCCTCTTCCTCCCCGGGTTGACGTCCTCCGCCTGTCCTGCTGAACCATGGGAATGAACTAGGGATGTAGTTTCTGAGGGGGACGTTTACGTCCTGTGGCCTTCTGGACCTTCGGGCTGACTGCGGCCGAGGGGTCTGCACCTAGGATGGCGGCATGTGCGGGATGCCTGCGTGCCACGCCGGCTCCGTGCGCTGCCTGCCAGCAGCAGGGGTGAGCGGCAGGACGGGAGGTGCCCGTCTGCCCCCAGGGGAGGGTGTGCAGGCCTAGGCGGGGTCGCTCAAATGGTACGCTGTCTTGGAGTGGCATTTTACTAAGATCTGAGGAGAGAGCATTTTTTGACTGTTGAAACAAGGATAGTGATAGTATGATGTCATATGCAGAACTTGCTGAGTTTTAAAAATAAAACAAGAACTTCAAAGAAGTTTCCAGCAAGTGGCAGACTCTGAACAACTTGGTTGCCCACCTTGGGGCCCAGCACTCCCTGCTCACCGGTGCCCCCTGCCTGCTGAGCCCCCCTCCTGCCGGCCGAGGCACGGGTCGAAGTCCAGGCGAGGTCAGGCGGACCGGAGACTCTGGGAGTTTCGCTGGGAAGTGTTAGTCCCCTCCCGGCTCCTGGCCTCTCTCTGGACAAGGGCCGGCAGGTCTTGTGTAGGCTCTGACGCAGACCCCGGCCCTACAGGTATTATCGGGGAACCCACGGGGTCATCGTGGTTTATGACGTCACCAGTGCCGAGTCCTTTGTCAATGTCAAACGGTGGCTTCACGAAATTAACCAGAACTGTGACGACGTATGCCGAATACTAGGTGAGACTGGGCTGGCGGGGGTGGGGGCAGTGGGGTGGAGGGTGCCGGGGTGCCCCTGCAGGACCAGCTGACTTTGCTTCGCCTCCAAGTGGGGAACAAGAACGACGACCCTGAGCGGAAGGTGGTGGAGACGGAAGACGCCTACAAGTTCGCCGGGCAGATGGGCATCCAGCTGTTCGAGACCAGCGCCAAGGAGAACGTCAACGTGGAGGAGGTGAGGCCTGGGCGGAGCGGGGGTGGGGGCGGGGCGGGCCCGGCCCTCCTCTCCCCGCTGCCAGCCTGCCCGGGGCACCCGGCGGCCAGCAGGAGATGCTGCAGTAGCTGCCGGGCCCTTTGCAGGTGTTAGCTCCCATCCCGGCGGTCCTTGGCGGTCCGCTGTGCCCACGTTTCACGTGGGAGCTCGGTTCCAGCTCAAGGACTGTCACCCAGACGGTCAGAGGCTGAGGTGGGTGAGGACCTCGCCCACCCCACAGCGGTGCACTTCCCACCCAGCCCTCCGGCCTTCCCAGGGGCCCTGGCCTCCAGGACTCCGGTGGCGCCCGCTGCGGAGGCGCACACCCCGCAGACCAGCCCCCCACAGACCAGCTGAGCCTGCGCCCCGGGGCAGCCCCTGGCCCCTTCTGCAGGGCCGCAGGACGGTAGTGGGAGTCTGTGGGGGAGAAGCCTGCCCTTCTGCCACACGCCCCGGCTGGCTGCACGCGCAGTCTTGGGCGGGTCCTGCCCGTGCTGTGCGGGGTCCAGAGGCCCAGAGAAGGCGGGATCCCCGCTGCATCCCGGGCACCGGGCGCCTCAGTTGGGCTCCGGCTGCAGTGTGGGCCATTCTGCATGGGGGCCTGCGGGGGGCCCGTACCCCCTGGGCAGTGGCCTCCCGTCCCTGGACTCCGTGTGTGTCTTCTCTAGATTTGGGTGGGGTGAGAGGCCCTGCTCCTTGGGTGCTGAGGACAAAAAGTGGAGCAGGCTTTGCCGAGTGCTCAATGGTACCTTCCCCAGTGGAGTCGAGAACAGCAGTGTGGGTTGGGAGGTGGATTCTGGCAGGGCAAGGATGTCTTGGGGTCTGGGGCAGGCTCTAGGCAGAATGTGCAGTGAGGTGCTGTGGAGTGGACAGGCTCTGGGTCCCTCTAGTCTGTCACCAGAGCAGGGGCACCTTTATCTGTCTTGTCCGAAGATTCCAGCGGGAGGAAAGGGGTGGGACATACATAAAGGGCAGACTGGAAAATCCTGAGGGATTGACCTTTATGTTTCACCACCTCCTTCTGGAAAGGATGTGAGGACGTATGTACTGGAAAATTCACAAGACCTGGAAAGCTGGGCCCCGGGAGGCGGGGGTGGCCGTGCTGGCCGGCACAGGCAGCGCGCCGAGACGGGGCCTCCCCATGAGGCCTGAGGCCCGCCCTGCCCCCTTCGTCCTCACAGATGTTCAACTGCATCACAGAGCTGGTCCTCCGAGCGAAGAAAGACAACTTAGCGAAACAGCAGCAGCAGCAACAGAACGACGTGGTGAAGCTCACGAGGAACAGTAAACGGAAGAAACGCTGCTGCTAATGCCTCGCCCAGCCCCCTGCAGAGACTGCACTGCGGCCACTCCCTGGCCCGAGGCCCGCGGGGCCCCTCGGGGGACAGTCTCAGTTTCGTGCCGTTATTTAAAGAATTCTCTCCACGTTTTTGTATCTGGAGGCGCCACGTGCACTTCCTCCCTTTCCCCGCGAGCACCAAGAAGGGCCTGGACCGCCTGCCCTTCCCTTCTGGTGCCCCTGCCCCTGGCCGAGGCGCCTGGGCCCAGCGAGGACGCTGCCAGCGAGCGGACTGATTAACCGTTTTGTACATAGTGTATATTGCTTTAACCAGCCGTTCCACCCTCGTCCTGTTCTGGCTTTGCCTCCCTAGCGCCAGCCTGCTGCCGCAGACCCTCTGTCCCCATCCCATCTTGCCGCCGCCAGCAGCTTCCGGAGAGACAGGATCGAGTTCTACCCACATCTGTTGCCAACCTGGGCTGGTGGAGGGGGCTCCGCGTTACTGTTCTCTGCCGCAGGCCGTCGGTGACTTCTGTCCCTGGCCCGGAGGGTCTCGCCTGTCTCCAGGGCCTCTGCCGTCCGTGCTCCCAGCCCAGCTCCCTGCCCTGCCCTTTCTCTGTTCTGCCAGCTGGGGAGGCCTGACCTTGAGGTAGGCTTGGGGTTCCTGTTAGAGGTCCTGCCCTCAGCTGGTCCAGCCCTCGGGTTCCACAGGAGACACTCCTGCCTTTTGGCCAACAGATATCTCGTCCTGCCTTCTAGATGCCTCTGAGCTACAAACCCAGGGGAGCTGGGGCTTCTATTTATACCAACCTGTGTCAGTCCAGCAGAAAGATGGTGTGTTCATGCAGGGATGGGGCTCAGGAGCATTATTTTAACAGCTAGAGAGCGACGCCAAATCAAATGAATTAAGTTCCTCACATTTCTCTTCCTGGGGTTTGATTGGCACAGCAGCCGCAAGTGGTGGCTTCCCCTCTGAGCCCGGTGTTTTTAGAAAAAGTGAATGGCTTCCTGGCATTACGGGGCTGGGCTCTTGGCAGCGCAGCTCTGCCTTCCGGAACGTTTCTTGGTGGGAAAGGAGGAGCCTCTCACCCTTGTCTGTGTTGGCCCAGGGCCTCCCACTTAGTACCTAAGTCTTCAGTGTGGGGCGTGGGTGCCGCTGGAGTGTGGGGAGGGTGCCTCTGGGAGGGTGGCAGCAGCCTGTTGTCACTCACTGACAATGGTTTCTGTGTCAAGGCTGCGGCGTGAGGGTTCCCCGGCAGGTGGGAAGGAACAGCACCTGGGGCTGGGAGCCAGCCGCTTACCTACCCTGGTCCCTCGGAGGAAACACCAGGGTTCAATGCACATGATTGCTGTCCCCTTCCCTCCTCCTTGGGACACTTCATTCACCCTTCCCCTAAAAGGATCATGTAACCTGGGAATAATTTATTTCAACACCATGATGTGTTTTACCAGATTTCCTTTCCTAGGCAATTTCCAGGCGAAGCCCTGACTGGACAATCACATCACAGACCACACTGCAGATTCGCCTCGAGAACACTGTTGAGGGGTTTTTAATCAAAATGGGGGTTTCCCTTTGACCTGTTTCCCCTCTTCCCCAAACTGCCAAACACTGGGGTTCCATGTGACAGGCCTTCCCTCTGGAGCTGCAGGATGGGGGGTGGGGGGGCTCTGTGGGTCCGGGAAGGTGGTGCTGTGGAGCGGGGGGAGGGCTGTGACCAACTGACAGGTGGTCTCGTCTGGTTGGGGGGCCAGGAGCCGAAGCGTGGTCTGCGTCTTCAGCCTGTCCTGGCTGATGATTGGTCCTGCGGTGGGCAGCACGTGCCACTCGGAGCAGTAAGGTTACGCCAGCGAGGCGGTGCTTGCACATTCGAGCAGCACGAGGAGGGGGCCCTGGAAGTGTCCGGCCCGGGCCAGAAACCCTCATGGCTCCTGGCAGCGGGACGTCCAGACCCAGGTGGTGGGGCGATTTTGGTGACGACAGTGTCTGTCCCGCTGAGTGTTAGTACGCATGAATAGGGGGTGGGGGTGGGGGTCTCACAGGGCTGGACCGACGTCTTGGTGAACCTGATGCGAAATCCTGTCGAAAAACAAAACTTTTAATGGTTTGCTAGGATTATTTCTGTATTGAAAGTTTCTAATTATGCTTTTTAAAAAAAGTACTAAAAATAAAGGTTCAAGCTGCCAAATTTTCTTCGGGGGTCCGTTTCCTCCAGCTGTGCTCTGGGTGGGCTTGGCTTCTTCCACCCATTGTGTCCAGCTCGTTTGTTCTGGTTTAGGCACAGGGACACTCTGAGAAGCCAAGTTCATTTCTCCACGATAGGCTGGTCCAGGTTGAGCTGCTCTGGTTTGCTGCGCTGGCTGAGGGCACGTGTGGTGAGATGCCAGGGGAAGTGCCCTGTTTATTCCCTGCACGCCCGGAAGGATGCAGTGGAAGCTTTGCCTGCAGCGATGTGACTTGAAGTTTCTGCCAAGCTGGAGGGCTGGCCTGTGGCCGGGCGACTGCAGCCCTCGCTGGCAGGGAGCCCAGGCCAGGGTGGGTGTGGAGGCTGTGCCTTCAACCACAGCTCCCAAAACAGCTGTCACAGGATGCCTCCACCCTGCAGGGGAGGTGCCCCTTCCTGGCTAAGTCCACTGGTTGGGTCCCCGTGTGTGAGGTGACTTCCCCAGTGTGTGGGGGCCTCACCGTTTCTGCATCTTCGTGCCAGCCAGTGGCGGTTCTGAAAGGTAAGCTGCGTTCCCACCAAACAGCCCCTCCAGGCACCCAATGACTAAGGCAGGAAGCTCTGTAGAAATTCAATTTATTCTTATACTATTTTCAAAAGAAGCAGTGGTGCGCTGTTTTTCTAAAAATATGCCTTTATAGATTTTTATATATAATATGTATATTATAAAATCCATACATGTATTTACATGATTGCTACATACAAAAGTACAGCACTGTGGTATGTACATATCTATAGATACATTCTTTCCGCTCATCCCTGCTGTGCTTTTCCCAGGTGAGGGAGGGAGATGATCCTGGGGAAGCAGCCCACGGGCTGCTCAGCCTGGGCGCCTCGGAGTGAGGCCTCAGCAGAGGAGGAGCAGTGGCTGCCGGAGGAGCCGGAGCAGCAGGTTGCAGGACTCGTCCTTCTGCAGGCCTAGTGGGCAGTATCCAGAGGCGTCCACCCCGTGGTGACAGCGCTGCCCTTGAGGTGGAGGTGGCTGACCACAGACCCCTTTGGGGCCATTCTGTGGCCTGGACGTGCTCGGCTGAACCAAGAACTTATGTGAGTGGAGCAGGGCGCTGTAGTTGGAGGAGAACCCCTCCCAGCCCTGGCCCCGCGAAGGGGGAAGGACTGGGTGGCTAAAGCCTTCCCAGGGCCCGTCGGAAGCCTGGCTGGCCCTGCCCGCCCGGCCCTGCGGAGGGGAAGGCCTGCACTGGCGGAGGCCAGAGAGGAAGGGCAGTGATGCCAAGGGGCACAGGCCCGTCTTCCCTCTGGGCTTGGGATGGCCTCAGCCAAGCCGTGGCAGAGCGCAAGAGAACGGCCCCAGCCATCAGGCCCCACAGGCTGGGTCTCCTGCCCACAGTGCTCCCGGCAGAGGTGCATGCACACGGGTGAGGGGCCACCTCCCCCTACGCCCCGGGCCAGGGTCCGGGGGAGGGACGGAGGCTCAGGCCAGCGGGGGCAGCAGGAGCCTCCTGAGGCATGCAGAGAGGGCCTGTTTCTCCTGTTCCCCGTGTTCCCAACAGGAGGGCAGCAGTGCCTGGGGTTGGGCCAGGGAGCCACTGAGGGGTGGGCGGGGCTGGCCACTCCGGAGGGGGCCTGAGCCCTACTCAAGGACGGCGGATCCTCGGGAAGCCCGGGCTGGGCCTGGCTGGGCAGCGGGCACAGGGCTCCTGCCCGGCCCAGGGGAGGCTCTTGCATGCAAACACCCGCACCCCATTCAGTTGCCTCCAGTCCGCCCATCCTCGCTGGCCCGATTCCTCCCAACTCAAATTTTCCTGAAGAATGAGAAGAGCCGTTTGCCTTCGGTGGTGCTGGGCTCGTCCCCGTGGCCCGCGCCATGGGCCCTGGAGAGGGCAGCAGCAGGCCGGCTCCGTTCCTTCAGGTGCGTGTCCATCAGCTGCCGGTCAATGACCCTGTGCATGTCATCCTGCAGAGAGCACAACGGAAGGGGCTGAGCAGAGCAGTGTCCTGACCCTGGTCAGGGAGGTGACAAAAAGACCTGAAGGACTGAAGGATGGGAGATGAGGGAGGATGAGGATGAGGGATGAGATGATGAGTGGCTGCAGCCGGGGCTGCCCCAACCAAGAAAGCAGTGAGCGTAGACGCCGGGATGCACGGGAGCCTCGTGACGCCTCGCTTCAGGACTGGGGCTGGCTTCTCCCCAACAGCGTTGCCCCCCGCTGACTGACCCCACAGAGGGTTAGTCCCTATGGGCGCAGACAGGCTGCAGCTGGTCCTTCCTGTCTGTCTCTCCACCCTGCCCGCCAGCTCCATACCAGAGCTTGGCCTCGATAATTATTATTACCGGCCTGAGCTGCTGACACCACCAGCAGCTACATGTGACAAGGACAACCCCATGCACCAGCCCCCTCCTTGCGACGAGGCTCCCATCTGCGGCAGAGACCTGGGCATCACCACTTCAGGGCCTGTCTTGCTTTAACTCGGGCCCGTTTCCTTAGCCTCCTCACTGGGGCAGCACCTTTCCCTACCAGTCTGTTCAAGTGGCCCAGAAGCCCCCTCACCGACTCCCCCTTACAGGACAGCAGCTCTGACTCCACGGAGGAGCTTCCAGACAGAGCAGCTGCGCTCTGGTTGCTAGATTTTGATTCTGTGCAAGACTCCATTTGACAAAGACATTCTGCCACTAACACTGGGAAGACTATCGGTTAAGCCTGTCTAGTTCACATCAGCAGGGAACACGACAAGCCGCTGCCTGATTCCTTCACCCTCGGACCCTGCGGGCTCTGGAATGTCCTGGTGAAAAGACAGCGAGCCACAGGCTAAACCCTGGAGTGAGTCAGCTGCTCCTGAGGGCAGGAAGTGGGGCTGGCCGCCCCCCTCCCCGAACAGCTTGCCCAGCACCTCCTGCCCCCACACCACTGGGTGTCAAGTGAGTGTCCGCAGGTTTCAGTGTGAGACAGACTCTCGCCACATCGCCAGGCGGCCGCAGGTGTGGACCTCTTGTTTCCTCCTCTGCTCGGGTCCTGCTCCCCTGCCTTCCTCTCTTCCTACCCCCATCTTCCTTCATGCTCATCGTCCTGACTTCATCCCTCCTTACAGAAAGGACACATCCTCCCTACTTGTAGCGTCCCAGTGCCGAATCCTCAGCACAGTGCCCTGTGCTCAGGACGTGCTTAATAAAATCTACGTTGTTGAGTGCAACATTAGGAATGTTAGAGCGTCCTTCAGAAAGAAACCCTTTCAGAGCTGCCAGTGTTTATTCTGGCACATTGCAAACTGCCTTTTTTTATCCTTTAAAATTTCTCCAGGTGATGCTATGGCACATAGCACTGTAGAATACCATGCACGCACATCCATGAGCTGGTCATAATTCCACGCCTGCTGTCACGTCTGTGGCCAAAGCAACCCATTTATGAGGCGGTGGCACCAAGAACCAGGTGTCAGCCTGTTGGTGCTGGGCCACGTGCTGCCGTGTTCGCTGGACATGATGGTGATGGGAGGAGGGAGGCCAGGACTTGATGGCAGGGCACACGGCACAGACACGATGCCAGACTCCAGCACACAGAACACAGTGAGCCACAAGGGGGGCAGCAGGGATGGGGCTTCGATGGCAGTGGGGGGAGTGCGGGCGGAATGAGGGCCCAGTCTCACCTCAAAGGCAGGAGGGGTGTACAACTAAAGCTGTTGATACAGGAACTGAGAAAGGCCACTAGATCAGAAACCAAAGGAGCCAGATAGTAAAAAGCCCTGAGGAAGCAAACTGTAGCCAGGAGAGAAGAAAAAAGAACAGGACGGTAAGCCAGGGCAGTCTGGCCTAGGAGCCAGGGACCAGGTCTGGGGGGGTGGGGGAGGGTCAAAGCTCAGAAGGACCCCTGGAGGAAAGGTCGCCCACAACCTGCCCTCCACAGTGGGGCTTGCCTGGTAAAGCTGCAAGTGGCTTTTCATCAGCCTGGTTAGGATTTCTTGGGGAGCAACACGAATGGTTGCACCCATGTCCTGAAATTGTACCACCCTAACCTCATGAGCAAAAAGCAAGTACAGCTGTGGTCCAGCAGAGAGCCGAGCTAGACCCGAGACGGGGTGGGCTGCCCGGGCTCTGCAACTAGTGGTCCTGCAGGGACACACTGACCCTTACTCCCCAGGCCTGCACCCGGACAGCATTCTTCGGAAAAAGGAAGCTGGCCTTTTAGAAAGGGAAGGACAGCAGCTGCTGGCAACTTGAGGGTTGCTGAACTACATCCCCCTGTGAATTTTCACTCAGCTTTACAGGGCTTCCTGGGCCCTCCAAGTTAACAGCTGCTTCTTTCTAGCGAATTTAAACAAAGCCGTGATGATCAGTGGAAGGAGGCCCCTGCCCCAAGCGGCACAACCTGGGGTTCACTGCTCCGAGAGTAACCTCAGGCATCCTTCCCCAGGACCTGGGGCAGCAACAGCTCTGCATTTCAGCAAGTGAAGACTGTGGTTGCTGCTCGCCCATGCACACCGGCCCCCTCCAGTAACACCAACTCTGCCCGTGTCACAGACTCCTCCTAGAGCCTCGTCCTCCCTTCCCTTACCTGCCAAGCCTCAAGCTGCTGCGAAAGGTTCAGTTTCTGCTGAATGGCATCCAGCAGCTGGCTGTTCAGAGACATCATGTCCATCTTGCATTTGGCGAGTTCCAGCTCCACAGCATTTTTCCTGAAAACACACGCCACAGTGACTATGGATACCCCATGCCAGAGCAGTGGGTTCTTACCTAGGACACCTGGAGTCCACAAGATGAGGAAAGGTGCTCTGACCTTAAACTCACAACAAACAGTAACAGTAACTATGATGTAACTTGCAGAAGGCTGGAAAGTCTGTAGCACATTTTCACAGACGTTTTCTCAATTTCCCTAACTGACCTAAAGGGGAAAGGATGATGTGTCTGCCCAGCTCACAGATGAAGTGGTTAAGGGCATGACGCTTAAATCAGGACCAGAACCCGGAGGAGATCAAAGGCCTCACACAGCACTAGGAAGCTGCTGATCCTTGCCCCGC